AGCCGCTGTCTCCACTGTGCCAAGTTCGCGTCTCTGTGTCATACTTCCTGTTTTACTTTGAAGGTCCGTGTCTTATGTGAATGTGTCCTGCTTTGCTTGTCTCATCAGTCCTGATTTCTCCCAGCTGTGCCCTCCTGTGTCTCATTCCCCTCGTTACTTCCCAGTGTATTTAAACCCTGTTTCTCTGAGTCAGTGTTGTGTCGTCCCTCATGCCGTGTGGGTCTCCCTGTGACTTCAGTGTGTTATTCCCCAGTTTAATTTACTTTGTATGCTTGTTTTTCTGCGACGAGCAAATAAAGCTGTGCTTTTGAGTTCATCCCTCGAGTCTGTGAGTCCTCATCTCCTGCCTGCCACACAGCGTTTCATGACAGATGATGCTTTAAATGTCATTTTATGGATGAACGTCAGAGTCAGGCTCAGGTTTCATAACCTCCACCCTTAATTCTGTTTAAACACACAAACTGCTCCGACGTGTCTCTAAAGCACTTCCACATCACTAACAGTTCTCTCCTGATATACAACAAGTTGGGATGCTGTGGAAAATGTACATAAAACAGAATACAATGATTTGCAAATGTCACAAACCCATTTACTCACAAAAAACGAATCAAATGATTAAACTGAGTCTTAATGAACATATGAAACTGTTTTGAATTTGATGGTATCAACACGTCTCTAAAAGTTTGGGCCGGTCCATGTTTCCTCTGTAACATCAGTGAGCTGAGGACAGCAGCTGCTGGACCTCCAGAGGACTGTTGTCCCGTTCTGGACTGATGCCCAGCAGTCCTGACTCCTCTTTGTCCCATTTTTGGTTTCAGGATGCTCCAGATGTTCTCAGCTGGCTCAGCACTCAGACTCTTCTACTCCGAAGCCAAAGGGCCATCGGATCACAGGCTTCCAGCCTCGTCTCATACACACAGATGCTTCTCCAGACTAGTTTATGATTTAATATTTTGTAGATGAGTTTTTTACAATTTTATTTTGATGCATATTATTCTGAAATTGTTTCACAATGTATAAATCAAGATGCTTTTTATGCCCAATCATGTTGCTGACCTGCTGCCAGGTAACCTGATTGGTACAACATGTTTCTCCAGCCTTGTTGCTCCCATCGTGGATGTTTTGAGGCATGTTGCTGCCATCGACTTCAAAATGTCTACGCTTAAACATCTGATATGTTTTCTGTGTTCTACTGTGAATAAATATGGGTTTAAACGATTGTCTGCATTGGGTTTGCACTGGCTTTTTGTCAGGTCACATTTCCACACACATACATTTGTTTCTATTTAAACAACCTGAAAAAAACATGAAAAAACAAACAAAATACAAAACACAGCAGCAAACAGGATGTTAAAAATATCTAAATTAGGAAGCTGGCATTTTAAGAGTAGCTTGAGTTTCCTGCCTGTTATTTAACATCAGGCTCGATAGATCCAGCCGACGCTGGAGGGCCTCGAACCTGCGTTCTTTCTAAAGGCCAGCAGGAAAAAGAAATTGGGTCATATTTAACACGATGGGGAAATAGCGCCCCTTCTCACTCGATAAATAACTTCAGTGAAAACTTGTCTGATGAGTTTATGGTCTCAATTCCTAGTTTTACATCTTACTGGACATAAAATGTTTATTTTTATAAATTATGGTCCCATAAAAAGTTAAATGGACAGCAAAGCAGGGGGATCACAGAGTGCTCAGTTCCTCGCACTAAGAAAAAGTGCATAAACAGTTCTGTTTTTATATTTATCTACATGAAACAGGACATTTTTGTCTCAGCAGTTGATCCCCGCTGAAAATGTTATAGTGGGAAAGAAGCTCGTCACACCGGGTTAGCATGTCAGGAACGCTCAGTTTGAGGCTTCAGAACTGGACTTTACAAACCAGCAGGTGGCGTCACTGGACTCATTTAAAGAGTTTAAATGAGAAGGAAGTTTTTGTGCAATTTTAATGACTTGTTCAGGCGCAACTATTGAGTTGTTAATGGGAACATCTTCTGGAGAGACCTCAGAGCTCCAGATTTCAGCCATCAGACTTGTCAAGACAAAGTTTTTCAAGCATCATCGTCCCTTCATGACAGGAAATAATAGGATGAAGGTGGAGATTATACATTCTTTGTGCTCAGTGCTGATTTTAGCCAGTTTCAGATCAATAACCCAAATTATAAAGTTGTAAAGTCCTCAACTTTAAATGAATCAGTAGCAAACACATCATGGAGGAATGTCCAAACATTGCCTGTCCTATCCGTCCTGGTGGACTTGTCCTGGTATCAGAGCATCGCTCTCCAGCCCTGGAGCTGAGGTGAACGGTGTGATTGTCTCCAAGGAGATCTCGGGGTCTTCCTCATACTGGATGGTTGCGTGGAGCAGCAGCAGTCTGTTGTGGCTCGGAGAACCGTTGGAGATGATCGACTCCTCGTCAAAATGTGCGCTCATGTCCTCCAGGTGGTCCGAGCTGACGTTAATGTTGCGGGGATGCTGCTGCGGCTGAGCGGGGACCAGCGCCTCCTTGTGGAGGGTGGTGTCATGGTGGTAGGAAACCAGTTCGTTGCTCAAGTTCACCGCCTCCACCGCGTTGTTCGAGCAGACTCGGCCGCAGCCCAGGATGCTGGCGAAAGCTCGGCGGAAGTCTGCGTTGAACGCGTAGATGACCGGGTTGAGGGACGAGTTGGCCCAGCCGAACCAGACGAAGACGGTGAAGGTGGCGTCGCTGACGCACGGCGGGTCGCAGAAGGGGACGGTGCAGTTGAGGACAAAGAAGGGCAGCCAACAAAACACGAACACGCCCATGATGATTGAAAGCGTCTTCAGGACTTTGGTTTCCTTCTTGAACGAGGACTTCAGCGAGGCCTCGTCGCCGGGCCGCTGCACCTGCTGCTGGTTCCTGTTCACGCCGTGGCCTTGGTGCTGCGCCTGCTCTGCCGCCCGCTCCAAAGACATGATCCGACGGATCTGGGTCTGGGCGATCCGGTAGATCCGGGTGTAGGTGGCGATCATGATCACCACTGGGATGTAAAAGCTGATAAAGGAGGAGGAGATGGCGTAGGTCTTGTTCAGGTTGGCCACGCAGCTCTGGGCGGCGACGTCGCTTGAGTTGAAGCTGCTCATGTTTGTGAAGTTTCCGCTGGCGGCCATCATCGCCGCCATCTCCTCCATCGCCACCTCCCGCTCCTCCTCCCCGGCCCGGTGCCAGTTGAGCTGCACGGGGATGAAGGAGATCAGAATGGACAGCGTCCACGCCACCCCGATCATCACAAACGCCACGCGATGAGTCATTTTCCGCTCGTACTTGAAGGGGCTGGAGATGGCCCAGTAGCGGTCCACGCTGATGATGCAGAGGTTGAGGATGGACGCTGTGGAGCACATGATGTCAAAGGCGATCCAGACGTCACAAAAGCGTCCAAACAGCCACGTGTTGGTCACCTCCGTGATGGCCTCCCACGGCATCACGAGCACGGCCACGAACAGGTCGGACACGGCGAGAGAGATGACGAAGAAGTTGGTGACTTTGGAGCGCAGGTGGCGGAACTTTATCACGGCTGCGCACACGAGCGTGTTCCCGAGCAACGTGGACACGATGAGCAGGAAGAGCACGCAGGCGACGAGGACGCGCAGTCCGCCGATCCCTCCGCCGTCCTCCTCCCCATCCTCGTCCTCCTCCGTCCCGTCCAGCTCCGACAGAACTCGAGTGAAATTACTCCACATGGTAAAGTTCTCCATCACGCAAAGCGACAGAGCGCATTAATATCCGCGAGGAAAGCCGCTTGTCCTCCGTGCAGCTGATCCACTGAACATCCTCCGAAGGAAAAAATAAAACA